ATTAATAATGGAGATCATTGATATAAAATAAGAAAAGAAGTTGACCTGAAATTGATCCCTGTGACACTCTCGTTGTGACTAACTGTTTTTCAGATTTTATATTTCCAAGCTGAACACTGAAATCTACAGTTTAACATTGAGGCAACCAATTTTACTTCTCAAGGGTCACAATTTTAATCAAAATATTATGATTCACAAAATCAAAAGCCTTACAGAAATCAAGAAAAGTTACGCCGACCAGTTCACCAGTATCCGTTGCTCGAAAGCATTTATCAATTTATCATTCTTTTCATTCTATTTGTAAGTCCATTATTTATACACTGAATTGACGACCGATTTTTCGGTTATTTCCCGATCACGAAAAGGAGAAAATGGCGGGTGTAATCGGTCGGCAGGGGATAGTCACTTCTCCATGGCACCTGATCCCTTCTGTGATGTTTTTGAGGTCCTTATTTGGGAAACAGACTCAAAGAGTTAATGCTGTGCCTTTCGAATATGATACTTTTTAACTCAGTCTCACCAAGATATATCGATATAAAACTGGAAATTAAAATTGTTTATTGACAATACGTCGTCGATATGTCTAAATGTCGAGATGAAGTCTAAAGCAAGTGTTTCCTTTTCATGCATAAGATTTTGCACAAATTCTGCTATGAGATATCATGTGTTGTCTTGGTGTATTTTTAGACGGTCTCGTAAAAATTACTGGGATTTTACCCCAAACTTGGCTTGTACACTGAGATCAATATAAGTTATATATGGCATAAAAAAAGATTTTTTTTCTGTTGCAGTATTCACACAATAAAACCCCAGTCGGCCACTATCTGCGTCCTTCTAAGATGTGCTCGGTGCTGTCTACGTTCTTATAAGATGTGTTTGGTGCTGTCTACGTCCTTCTAAGATATGCTAAGTATTGTCTACGTCCTTATAAGATATGCTCGGTGCTGTCTACGTCCTTATAAGAAGTGCTTGGTGCTGTCTAAGTCCTTATAAGATGTGCTTGGTGCTGTCTACGTCCTTATAAGATGTGTTTGGTGCTGTCTACGTCCTTCTAAGATGTGCTAAGTACTGTCTAAGTCCTTCTAAGATGTGCTAAGTACTATCTACGTCCTTATAAGATGTGCTAAGTACTGTCTAAGTCCTTATAAGATGTGCTTAGTACTGTCTACGTCCTTATAAGATATGCTCGGTGCTGTCAACGTCCTTCTAAGATGTGCTAAGTACTGTCTACGTCCTTATAAGATATGCTTGGTGCTGTCTAAGTCCTTGTAAGATGTGCTCGATGCTATCTACGTCATTTAAAATGTGCTTTGTGCTGTCTTCGTCCTTTAAGATGTGCTAAGTACTCGCTACGTCCTTATAAGATATGTACGCGTTCGATGGTTTCTACGTTTTTATAAGATGTGCTTGGTGCTGTCTCCGTCCTTTTAAGATGTGCTAAGTAATGTCTACTTCCTTCTAAGATATGCTAAGTATTGTCTACGTCCTTATAAGATGTGCTAGGTGCTGTCTACATCCTTCTAAGATGTGCTAAGTACTGTCTACGTTCTTTTAAGATATGCTCGATGCTGTCTACGTCCTTCTAAGACGTGCTCGGTGTTCTCTACATCCTTGTAAGATGTGCTCGGTGCTGGTTACGTCCTTAAAAAGATGTGCTCGTCGTTGTCTACGTCCCTATAAGATGTGCTCGGTGCTGACTACTACTATTTAAAATGTGCTATGTGTTGTGTACGTCCCTCTTAGTTGTACTAGATGCTGTCTACATCCTTCTAAGATGTGCTTTGTGTTGTGTACATCCTTCTAAGATGTGTTAGGTGATGTTTACGTCCTTCTAAGATGATCTCCTTGTTGTCCGAAGAAATAAATTCAAAAGTTCATGACGATGCCTTGTGTAACATAAATAATTGGAGGCCAATGTATCAAAGTCGAAATTAATCAATATATTCTTAATAATTTCTGAGAATCATTATAACGTCATCAAATAATAATTTCTTTGAAATTTATTTCTGAATAGCTAATTTTTTTTAAATTTCATTCAAGACAATGTATATTTCAAAGTTAGCAAATGAAAAAAAAAACATCAGAGCATAACAGGTATTGACTTAAGAAATGAATGTAATAATTTTTTCTTTGATCGATGTATCAAAGAAAAATTTGGACGGAAAACTTCATCAATGCGCGTAGCGCATTGATGAAAAAGTTTTCCGTCCAAATTTTTCTTTGATACATCGATCAAAGAAAAAATTATTACATTCATTTCTTATCATTTAATTAAGATTTTAAATTAATAAAATGAAAGTTTCTTTCACTTTTCTATTAAATCTATGCATCAAAAACAGTGCGCACGAATACATCACCATAACGTTAACGTTGCTGAAAATTCAAAATGGCTCTAACCATGCTAACGAAAAACGTTCTCAAATATTGTCGTGTGATTACCAACAGTCTCCAAAACAATTTACAGTTCTTTAACACAAAAAACTTACCTGTTGTGTTATCCCTCTGTGTATATTTTCCCCGGTAAGTTATCTAAGTTCGTAAATGTAAAGGGAAGCTACTCAAATATCCTAATAGTTCTAGGTCACAGAAATTTTGGATTTCATTTGCGCATCTTTTCATTTGAATTTCAAACCGAATATATAATTATATACATATCACAACCTGTCAATGCTGTAAAACCTGAAAGAGTCTGCTGCCCATAGTTCAAGGTTAAAGAATTCCATCCTCAATTCATGGAGTGTCGTTTTTCTCGATCACTCGTTTACCACGATTTAACAGATTTTCGGTTTTCCCCGCTTTGGTAGCATAATAAAACTTTTTTTCAGAGTTCTATTGTTTCATACCAGATATCTCAAAGTCAAACATTTAAGAAAAGTATGCCGATTAAACGATTTCTTCCCTTCTTTCCCGTAACTGTATTGTCGTCATGCAGACGAATTTAATTTGTTTAGCAAAGGGGGATAATTCAAAATGAAACGAAAGTAGAAAATAAGCCAGGAACCTTACGGACAAGTTCCGAAATTCAGGAAAATATTTATTAAAGCAAAGGTATTTGAATATTCCTTCAAAAAGTAACCTGGAAGCGGGGAATATACATGTACCGACTGTCAAAGTAGTTCCGGCTGCTTAGTGCAACCGAACTATAGATTTTATTGATGCAGTTATCAAAAGAATTTTTTATCCAATCAGAATCAAGTATTTTATAGAAATTAAATGATAAAGTGAAGAAACAACGCAATTTTCATTGTTATATGATTATATATTGTACTATTTCAGATTAAGCAATTATGACAATTAATATCATCTTCAATGAAATCGATGCTTGTTGCATATCTGCGGTGATTTTCTTTGATCTTTTTTGTGACGATATATCCCATATTCGATAATTCTGTCCAAGCCCTGTCATATATTACTGCAGGAGGCAGAAATCGTGTGATTTTTTTTAATATTGAATTTTGACACTCGAAAAAAATTACGTCATCAGACATGCGACAATTTGCTTACATCATAGACTGCCTCGTACTATTGGTTATATCGTTTTCATGGGGCGTGGAAATCCAGGGCGCGAAGCGAATCAATACTACTCGGCATCTATGATGTAACCTATACTTACACAACAGTAGAATATAGAGTATGTAACAGTTAGCCAATCGCTTTTCAGGAATTTAGTAAGGTACGACATATATATTGCCTTTTGAAGGGCCATTTGGCAGAATTTCACAGATTCACAAGAACGCAGCAGGGTTTTTTTTAAGAAAGTAAAAAGAAAAAAATGAGCAGTCAGTGGGTTATCTCTTTAATGGTCGGCTTCTTAGCTTTATCTAAAGCTAACATTATTTCTCAGAAATATACCGCGAAACTGGAATTCAATGATAAGAAATCAAATTATGAACTTTTAGGAGAATACAGTGCTCATTCATTGACCAACTGCGCCGTGATGTGTCAAAGGGAGTGCGTCTTCTTTGGTTTCAACTCTCAAATGAAGAAATGCCATACCCACAAAAAAAGTCTTACGTCTGGTATGTCTGATGAGGCCGGTTGGAGATACTACTCTGTTGACGGTATGTATATTTGTTATTTTTTCTTTATGTTTACTTCTTTGGTTTGTTTTAAATCCCTCTCGAAGAGACACGATTTTTTCTTTGACACTTCTTTTTATGCAGTATAAACAATTGTATTTTTAATATAACTGATTCTAATGATATTCTCATCCCTTTGCTGATTTTTTTTTCTGTGATATTTTTTTTAATTTTCAATTATTTTTTTAATTTGAGTTTTATTGAATTATACTTTGTGATTTTCTATTTTCTCTTTTCTTAATATCTCTTAGCATGTAATGGAAAACATAAGATAAAATTTCTACACCTTGAGATTTTAGTATTATTCATTTAAGCTTTGTGACAATGATCAGTCCAAACCATCAGAAAATTATAGCTTGTCATTAACTAAATCAACGAAAAAACCTCACTTAAGCTCCCATCTCGAAATTCCTATCTTAAAGAACAGCTGTTCTGAAAGCTGATATGAGAATCCTGAAAACAGCTGGCCTGTACTACGGAGGATTAAACAACCCCTGTCGATCGGTTATACATTATATCATACATCAAAACGATATCATCATTTTACTACATTTTTCAACATCTATTTCAGTGTCAAAATTGTTTATCATCTTAATTATCTTCAATCAATTCCCCTTTCACATTTCTTTCAGTCAACAGAGTAATGAAAATAATTGTGTTTAATTTTAAATACGGTACTTTTAGCCATGTCATAAATCAAAGATTTGTATCAATTGGAAAACAAGATTGATTTTAAATAATAAGGAACAGTTAAACATAATACGCATCGTACATGTTGTTAACATTTTTGTTTCCACAATTAACATTTATATCTCATGCAGGCATTATATATCCCCTCACCTCTTGTACATATACATTGTATGATTCTGGTATTCTTTATTTTTTTTTAGAATTTTCTAGCATGCCCAAAACTTGCAAGGATCTTCAAGAAAACGGACAAACCATCACAGGGGTGTATGATATATACCCCTACAGTACATTAACCATTCCAGTAAGTGTGTACTGCGATATGACCACGATGGGCGGGGGATGGACGGTAGGTCGTTTATTTTATTATTAAAAGTACTTAGTATAACACACCTTGTTTTGGTTATTTTAAGGATTGTAGGATTGTATTGTACTTTATATCAAAACATATGGATCCTATGAATGTTCAAAGCAATAAATTAAATTGCTATGCGTGTTAATTTTTAAAGGCCATTCAGAAACGCGTAGACGGATCCATGATCTTTGACAGGAACTGGGCGGATTATAAGAATGGTTTTGGTTCACCAGAACAGGATGCCTGGATTGGTAAGTGTAAATCGGTTTCAAATAAGAACTTTTTATTCATTCAAAGTTTGAAGATACAAAAATTCTTGTGACAAGTAAAAAATTATAATGCGTAATAAAGATCAAAATTTAAGACTAGGTAATGTGTGTTCTATGATATTTAGATATCGTGTTTAATTGATATTTCAAATAATAAAAAATAGAAAAGAAGAATATCATTTAGCGGCATATTCTAATGAGACCAAATTTAGCAATATTGTCTATATCTATGGAAAATAATTTGATTTTTCATTACGGTAGATTCATATAGATTTTAAAAGAATTAATAGTATTCGATGAACTTTTCAGATGATTTTAGATATATCTTTATACAGGAAATGACGTAATCCATAAATTAACGAAAGAAAACACCTCATCCCTTTATGTATCCATCACTCTCCAGAATGGTACAACACTCTATGAAATGTACGATCGATTCTCTGTCTCCAACGAAGCAGGGAAATATCAACTCTTTCTAGCAGGACCTGCCAGTGGAACTTTAGGTCAGTGTATTCACGTTAAGTTCTTCAAATTAGGTTCAAATTACGTATAGCATCATAATAATACTTTTCTGTATTGGCAGGTTATAAAGTTGTTGAAAAAAAGAGAAAGATGTGTTTTTTTTCTGATATTCTGTATACGTGTTTGATTCCACGCTAATGAAACATGTTTAGTATTTCAGAATATCACTTGCAGGTACCATGCACGTATTCAGCAGATATTGAATTTGTTATTGTCAAGTAGATAAAATTTCTAATTATACATTTTATGTACAAGGAAAATTATGTAATTTTTTTTTAAACAAATAAATCCAATATTTACATTTGTTCAACACTGTTATTGAGCTTGGGTTTCCTGATTTTTGATAATTCACATTTTAACTGATACGGAAAAAGTTTACAGAGCATGTTAGTCTGATTTTTAATGATTCACATTTTTTACTACTACGGAAAAGGAAGTTTACAGTGCGTCATTAACCTTAAATGTCGAAGGTTTACGAAAATTTGATGATAAAAAAATTTTGATCGGATAAATATTCAAATAAAAAAAGCTTAAAAGCCAAATTTTAAAGACCTAAACCCGTTTCACATTTCCATTTATTTAATAGGAAATCTACCATCTTAAAACATTCACAGATGCACCATATCTTATCTCGTTATTAATGATTTACTTAGTATTGCATGTTATACCTGTTTAAAGACACGGTCTCGGACAAATATTAAAATTTCATTTTGTGATGTTTTCTTAAATTCCCAGTAACGTTTACCCCCCCCCCCTCCCCCCAATAATACTATGCTTAAAAAGTGTAACACGTCTCTTGTTTATTGTTACACTAGAAAGAATGCTATGTGAATTCCGCAGTGTTTTGTTGATTTTTTATTATTTTTATCTCTCTTTACAGGAAACGACACGTCAAACTGTGTATCTCAGACGTATTTCAGTATCAAAATTAATGTGATATGAATTAATAATTATTATCTCTGTTTTATATTTTCTCTAATTCTTCAGGTGCCAGTATTATAGACTATAGGGGATTAAAAGACTGAACTAAATAAATATTATCGCTCTTTCCAGCACCTAAAGCTGTCTATCTTAGAAGTACCTCAGTATTATTATTGACAATTAGATTGAAGATATATAAATCCATTCTCTCTGTGATTCCATTTGTTTTATTTTACAGGAGACTCTATGTTACACACTGGTACTTCTTACTGGGATCTGTCTGGGATGTTCTTCAGTACCCCGGACAGTGATAACGACGGGTATAGTGGAGGTAACTGTGCTGCTGAGAGTAACATTAGAGGAGGCTGGTGGTTTAACCGGTGTCATGACGCCTTCCTTAACGGTCAATGGTCCCCGGGGTACTGGGCCTACCCATGGTATCCCACAGTAACGAGTGGGACATCAGTGAAGGGGACCACCATGCTGATCAGACGTCATTAGGTAAACATCATTAAATCATAATATAACAGAATTTTTTTTTCTTTTTGTATTACTGTGAAATTTTCAAAAGGTTATAAGAGGTTTTTCAAAGTGAAATATGTTCCTATTTCTGTGAAACATTAATTCAATACTATTTTTTCTTAACAGACGAAAGATCATCCATCAATTAGAGGAATCCATTTTGATTCAAGAGCCGGTTTTACATTTAACATTTATCACGGGGTTCTTTTTTTTGTAAGACTGTTTGACATCAAGTGACTAAACAAATATGTTTTCAGGGGGTGAAGGATTATGTAAAGCAATAAATTATTGTGATCTTGTTCTACCGAATGTATTCTGCAAAAGATGTACTTTATATGTGTTGTAATAAATTTGAAATTAGAAATATTTCGTTGTTATTCACACTAATAAATGAAGATGTCTGGACGGATAATTAGGATGTAGATTACTTTATTGTCAAACCTATTACAGCGGAACCTGTTTAATCCGACACATTTGCAATACATTTTACTGTGGTGTCCGCCATTCAATTAATACAATGCAAGAGGAATGTCATAAGCGAAAACCAAAATTTGAAATTATTTAAATTCATTGTTATTTAGGTTAGAGATAATTCATGTAAGTTAAAAAAGAAATCAAATTTGCAAAACAAGACAAGGAGTTAGAAAAAAAATAAGCACTGATTCATTATTTTTGGAAGATGTTATAATATATCTGCAACTGCCTTTGCGTATAAAACTTAGCAAGCTAACATTAATCAATATGTTTGCAAATACCTTTGCAATTATGAGACTACATCTTAAAAAAATGATTCAATATGACAAGTCATTCTCTATTATGCAATGTGTAGACTTTGGTTTATATATATATATATATATATATAAATTATATATATATATATATATAATTTAATTCTGTTTGTATTCTTGTCTCTCATTGGTTGATTTCCAAAAAGGAACGCATAACATTTTGTATAATCTGGTTTGGTATGGGGACACACCCCCTTGACAACCAGCTGAATCATCTGTATCCATCAATCCCCTCATTTCCAGTCCTTCGGATTCATGAAAAATTCCAGATTTAATGAATGTACCTTTAACTTCAAACAGTTGCTCGATCTTACCTCATGTAAACAAGCATCATGGCTGCTAGATCTATGTATCAGTTTTTACCTCCCCTTGCTTCCCATCACTTCCGTTACTACGGTTGTATTATTGCGCGGTAAATTTGAAATAATAAAAACAACACAATTTTACATCCCCAGTTGTTTAATTATTTTAAAATTAAATTATAAGGAATGACTCTAATTCTTGGCCAGATTATCGAGTATAATATGGTTTGGGTCAGTTTACGCTTTTTTATAATCCGCTTCGCAGATTATAAAGCGTAAACTGACCCAAACCAGATTATACTCGATAATCTGGCCAAGAATTAGAGTCATTCCTTAAATAAATATATATATATATATATATATATATATATATATATATATATATATATATATATATATATATATATATATATATATATATATTAAAACACTTCGAAATTTAAACGTTTTCTAATAATGATAAATGATCAATGTAATATAAGGAAAAATAAAAAAAATCATAGGTCTTCAAGAAAGCAAAATTTGAAAATGATATCAATTAATCATAAACCTCAATTCCTGTATATGAATAAGGACAAGGCTGAAAAAATGCCAGAAACGCTTAAATTGCCTATGTATAAACTATTAATGTTCAATCGGATTTGCCTCTATCATAAATAGTGAATATAATAGTAATGTTATTTACTTTTTCATTTATTTGTTTAATAGAAATAAGAAAAAATATTTTCACTAATTCAAATTAATTAACACAAGCTTAATTATTTCATAAAATTTTAAGGCAGCCGTGATTACTATGTAAATTTTACCAGATTCAAAATAATGTCATGAAAACAATTCATGGAATTTCATTCAAAAACATTCTAGTAGAACTTCACAAAATTATTCAACCGTAAATGTCACAATGGCTTTATTTAATAAACATTTATAAACCATTATTACCGCAAAATACATTCATCGCGTGGCTTTGGGATGATATGACAGGTATTTTAGTTTTGCTTTTTGTGGCAAATTCCAACACAAGTGAGCCAGTGACTTTTCACCACACCGTTATTAATCTTGTTGACTGAGCCTTTGTCTTATTGTAGTCCTTTGTACCGAGACATAAGACTTTCCGGATATTCTTCCGCTTGTTGACGTAGGCGTGAATTGCCTCAATGCAGAAGTGACTGTTTTTCAGTCATTAATAGTTTGCTCTCAAGTTTCACGGGATGATATTGGACAATACTGCATAAAACTGTTAAACCCAATCTTGTCAGAATGAACACTTAAACAGAGAAAAAAACCTGAATCTGTTCACTTCGGAATTTATTAACTGAGTAAATATGAAAGATTACTGTGATCACCAGGAACACAAACGGGCTTCATCTTCCTCCCTACAGGAGTCTGAAGTAAAACTCCGCAGGAAAGAAAGAGTGCCGAAATGTTGTGTAGTGGGAGACGGAGGCACGGGGAAGACCAGTATGATGATGAAGTACACACTGGGGAAAATTCTCTCCGACTACCAACCAACCTGCTTTGAAAATTACACAAGTAAGTTGAGAGAGAATTCATTCCAAAATTAAGATTCGTTCCATAATGTATTAATTGATCATAATCAAATTTAGATACTTTTTTTCAATGTTACCAGCAATTTTTATATATACCTTGACCTATGAAGAGAACGATTATAGAAAAATATGCATATTGTTCAATTCATGTATTGTGAATAAAATGAAACATATGAATATGAAATAAAATATTTTAAAATAAAACGACACAAGTAAGTTAACCTGTAAATACAGCTTAACTTGTATGATATTGAACTAATATTGTTCTATATGAATGAAGATCAGACAAAGATTGATTTGAGAATTTGGGGCTAAAATATCTTAAGTAGATTTCTATATTTGAATATGGGTTAGCCCATTGTTAAAACAGAAAGCAGTCATTTCCGTGGTTTTGGTATAAGAACTATATTTTTACACAAAATGTTTCATAACTTAAATTCTAATTTATGAAAAATACACACAGCTTATAATTCTTTAAGAACTGTAAGTAATATTCCCCGTATTAAGTGAGAATATTTTTTTATTTAATTCAAAACATAAGAAAAACCACAATCATAGATTAACCGCAAGATATAATTTGATCTGAAAAACTGAATGACAAAAACACCCGGAAGTATAATTAATTGAAATCATATTAAAAACAAAAAAACATATGTTATCGATTGACAGTGTTGCCAAAATGTCAAAAAGTTACGTAATAAACAAAAATAATTATAAGCTGTACTGAATTGCTATACAGTGTATGTTGTATTGAACTAATGGGCAATGTAAGATTTATTCACCAGATATGTAAAATGTACCTTTGCAGACATATGTAGACCCTTTGGGTTAAATCTGTTTTATTATTCAATTTCATTGTCTCTTTTGCACCTGAAGCAAACAAATTTTATCAGGTATCTAATGTCTTTCGTCGAATGCTGCACAGGTGAATACTAAATAGTTTCACAGGTGTGTCGAATATGCATTTTAAGGAGCGCAAGTTCATTTTTGAAGGCACTTGCTACAATATTTATAAACTTTATAACATTGTGATTATTTTTACTGTTGATTCATTGAAATCCTATCATACATGTATTTTTACAATGGTTCCGATCAAAAGACGGTGCACACAAGGACCTTGATCTTTCTGGGAGAATGTTATACATGTATTTTTCTTTATCAATTTTGGTTCAAAAAACATAAGCTGAAGCTTTCTCCCATCAATTTTTGTTAAATTTTAAAACTCGATACATTTTGTGTTAACTTAAATTTTATTATTTTAAATATTCAGAAGTAACTAAGAATGCAATCCTTAGGATATCATTTGTCGTGTGAATTCAGTCTTTCCTTGTAAATCTCAGCTCTACTTCAGAACAGCCGGAATAAGAGTATATCACACACATACTATGATAAGTATCAGGGTACACTTCCTGTCTCAGTCGACATTTACATGGTCCTTAAAGTTCATACGAGGTCACGATTTCCGCTTCCCTAGTGTTTCTGTTATCTTCAGTTAGACACTCTCCTGATTTCTTTTATAGAATATTCAATCATTCTTTCTTTCTTATAGATCGTGGCATCTGAAGAACTTTTTAAAATGTAAAACTTTCAAAAGTATTTCATCCGACTGTCTTGTTAAATCAAAATAAATATTGTACTTTACGTAAAATGACCGAATTCCTGTACTTATGATAGGAACATGATTAAAGCAATAATAAAATCTTATACGACGTCAAATGACAAATATCTTAAATAGTAATGTCTGACCAGAAAGTCAGCATTTTGATAAAAATAATTGCGATGTTATTTTTTTTAATTTGTCAAGGAATTTCTGCCCATTCATTATAACAGTCAGTATTATTTCTGCTCTTGAACTGTTAATTATGAAACAGTCCAGATTTTACCTTGAGCAAAAAATAAATTTCTCTTTTTTACGTTGTTTGTGAGATGAAATAACAGACATATGGTGTGTCCCAGTGACTTGTGTAAGTGTCACTCATTCATTCAGATCTGAGGGCGTCTCTCGTGTAGAGTTATTAATGAATGTTAAGTGATGACATCATAGAAGAATTATGTTACTAGTGTGTACTTATATACAACACTTAGTATCACATATATCTACCTATCCAGAGCTAAAATTTAAAGTTTTTGAAAAACATTTTATTATCTGATTTGGCACTGATATGAATGTGTACACAGATATTATATGACATTGAAGCCAATGAAATTTAAAACTACCTTTTTTTCCCAATTGTTTGAATTTTGCATTATGTACTCTTGTGCAAATTTTTAAGGTTTTGATATATTGTATATGCCTTTTTATATTTTGTGGAAAGCGAAGATTATAATAACATTTTTAAAGAATATACCAAAATATTGCAATTTACACAAAAAATACCAGGAAAAAAAAGCATGATAAAAGACTTCGTAATGCGCTGTTTATTTGAATTTTTAACACAAGGAAAAACAGAGTCTGGGTCACAAATACAAATCATTTATTTTTTGTGGAAACAAGGAAAAGATTGCATAAATTAATTTTTTTCCGTTTCAATTTTTTTTATTTTTAGTTTATGTTTGTGAGATTTGAGATATCGATTTGGAGCATCGAGTTAAAATATTCCTGTTCACGTATACCACAAAACAATTTTTTTTAAAAAGTGATAAAAAAGGCTGATCGGATCTTAAGTGGGATGTTAAATAGGGAAGCAAATGAGAATATAAACCATAAAACTGAAAAGATCACTGATGTATGGTGGACGAAAGATGATATGTGTTTATTTGAGAATTGAGAATACGTGCAAAATCTAAACATAGATTGCACGAGTAAAAAGAATGGTGTTCAAGTTAATTAAAAAAAAATCAAGATTTAACAAACTCGAATTTAGAGTTTTTAGAGACCGGAATTTGGTTATTGATTGCCGGAAATTTTTTTTATGATTCCTGGTCTTTCGGATGAGACTGTATAAAACGAGGTCCCGTGGCGCACGGAAAAGATCCCTCACTGCTCAATGGCCCCGAGTTTCGAGTATAGGTATATATTTCCAACCCTCTAAGGCAAAGGGGAAGGGACGTCTCCATACGAGCGAAAAATTCGTGAGAGGGGCGTTTAACTACAAACAGGAAAAAGATTTCATTTATTCTTAACCAGGTTCTTGAAAAGAAAATTTTTGATTGACAAACCCCATTTCTTAATCACTGTAAAATTGCATATTTTTGTTGTGCCAAATAATTTAGGTTTGAGGTAAAAATGTTTTTGTGGGAATTGGATTTCGTGAATGGAAAATGTTCAGTAGTAATGCATTTAAAAAATTACATTTTCGTTATAAATTCGTGGCTCTCTCCATACCTCAAATAAACGAAAATTACCCCCTCTGAAAATTAGTGATTTCACAGCATCTTTTATTAAAAGAGAATGTGACCTTTTTGATAAAAACCTTAAAGCATTTTAGCAAAGGATAATCTTTACCAATTTTATTTGAAATTAGCTCCGTGGCTCTAGAGAAGATAAGCTAAAGAGTTCATGTTTTTAAAAATATATTACGAGTCAGCAAGATCTTGGTTTCCTCTTGCTGCTTCGTATCAGAAAAGATATATGAGGAACAAGGATCTTCCTTACTCCATCAATGGCATACATTTACTATACTCAGATATTTGATCATTACAGATTATGGAATTTTACTGACCAATTTTAAATCATATATTACAGTTGATGTACGGGATGGAGAGAATACACATCAACTTTGTGTGCTAGACACTGCTGGCCAGGTAAGTTGTCTAGCACTTCAGTATAACGATTATGAATTTATAATTGTTGTTTAATGTAATTTATGTTTGCAGTTTTTTAAATTAAATAATTTGAAAAATTAACTTAGAAAAATATGAATGAAATTAGTTTCTGTGGAGGTTTTTAACACTAAGCTGGTAAGACTATATATTTGATATTTTCTCTGTCTGTTTTCAGGAAACATATGATCGACTTCGAACGTTGGCATACTCCGATACAGATGTGTTTGTTGTTTGTTTCTCAGTATATGACAGTGACTCGTTTGAAAATGTTAAACAGAAGTGGATTCCAGAAATTAAACAATTTAAACCTGACACCCCGTTTTTCATTGTGGGGACACACACGGACCTACGTCATTCCGTGGTAGACATTACAGACGATTGTATCAGTACGTCTAAAGGGAAGAAGTGTGCCAAGAAGTGGGGAGCTATCAAGTATCTAGAGTGCAGCTCGATAGATGGGTCAGGGCTTGATGAAGTGTTCCAGTTAGCATACTCAGCAACAGTTTCTCCGAAAAAGAAACGACAAACATGGAAAAATTTCAAAGACGCTTTTAGAAGACGCACCATGAAGTTTTAGTGCAATATAAGTACGAATTGTTTATTGATATGTTGCCATTATACAGATTTTATATATTTTGATTGTTTCCATTTATTGTTGTGCCAGTGCGACAATGTCTATGGTACCAGTGCTATTTTACGAAATCCACAAATAAAGCAAATTAAATTGTCTGTTAATTTTGAAATAAAAACTGTTTTGAAAAAAATATCTTTGCATGTTGTATCAAACAGCGGGTGTGAATGATGAGTAGGAGATGCTTATTCCTCCTTGGCACCTGATCCCATCTCTTTGTTTCCAGGTGATCCTTATTGTTGTCCTGTCCGTTGTTCTTCTGTTGTCCGAATTTGGTTATATCTTACTTGTTTCAATGTAACGGAGAATACAGGGAAATCTTTTAAAAATCTTCAAAACATCAGATCCTTTATCATTGTAATTTACGGGTAAATGTTTGCTTTTTTATTGAGAAATATTTATGCAATTCGAAGAGTATCTGGTTATTAACTTGACAATAATTAAAAGGAAATGTTTATATTTTATTTACTTCGGGCGAACCTTTTGCTTTGTCTTTACATATGATATATTTACAAATAATAATATTTGTAACACAGTTAAATTCTTACCGAGATTCACGAACGACTTTCCAGTACAATGTTCTAAGATGGAAAAAGTGAAGATAAGGGATAAGGGTCGATCTTATTAAAAATTAAACACAATAGAATTTTGTGGACAGGGTATAAACAGGGACCCCGGCAATTCCAGAGGTAGGATCAGGTGCTTGGGAGGGTTAACTACACCCTGCTGACCGGTCACACCCACTGTGACCTCTATGTAATGATCAAGTAGACAGAAATGTATGAAATAAGTCAACCAAATTACGACTCAGTAAAAGTTTCTATTTATTAATAAGGTTATCATAACTAAACGTAAAATTTACCGAATATGGGGACGAACGTTTATTCTTTATTATAAAAAAAATCCTCCGTACTTTAAATGGAGTTGACATCCAGTTTTTTTTTTTTTCTCAGGTATTCTCCGACTTGTTTGATAAATAAAGATTTAAGAGAAGTCAATCTCAGAAGTCTATTGAAACAATACAACTCGGGACCAGAGCAAACAAAGTGTCAATGAGGTGTGAGCATCTCCTGTTTACGGTCACACCCGCCGTGTGCTCATTGTTCTGATCGGGATAGTGGAAGAACCAATGTGCAAATAATGGTCTAACAACTGATATTAAAAATGCTAGCCAACACTCGAGTCAACGTTGGAAAATTCTGGGGGTCGTTATTTTGACCTTGTTCGCAACTTCAATGTACTGTTGGGTCGCTTTCTGAGTGAAGTCATATGTTTAGCTATTGTTTTAATTATAAATTGGCGTTCTAGAAATAATTTTTTCCAATCCATACAAAAGGTTCACGATAGATATGGCCGGTCAGTAGGGGATTTTCTCCTTCAAGGTTATTGATTTATTCTCTCGTGCTTCCAGAAGTATATAATTTCACCTTATTCATGATTCTTTTTACTTGGTTTCAGGATTTACGAAAATTATCCAAAAAAAGTTTTCTTCCACCTAATAATTATTATTTTATTTCTTCAAATTAATTCATAAATAGATATTCATCTAAATTTCGATAACAATGAAAACTTTTCACTAGTTATGACTCCTCGAGCATTCTATTTGGAAGATACTTTGTACTTATGATTCAAATAATAAAATTATATCCATAGACATGTTATAACATAATTAATAGTTAGACATTATAGTATTTTTATGACTTGACCGGAATTCATATTTTTCAAGATAAATTCAGTGAGATCCATGTGATTAGGAAAGACTCAAATTAGATTGTATTCTCTTTTACAATCGCGCATTAAAAAATTGAGGGGCTATATGAAAACCAACTATCCTTCCGTTTTCAATAATCCAGAAGTGAAAAGAGAATCAAATAGAAAATATGATCAGTATATACTGGTCACTGCTGACAAAGCAGGTAACAACATCGTCTTCGTTTGTGAGGCTCAGTATATAAATTTTAGAAGAACTTGGGTTTAATTCTTCAAGCCGTAATCCAACTTATACTCATAGTTCCCTTTCTAAGGAAGAAATTCTTCAAAATCATATGCATGTATTAGTTTTGAATATTTTTAAGTTCCCAAAGAACCAAAATGAATTTGAACTACCATATATTACTTTTATAAGATTCCTTACAAACAAAGACACGTAGCGGTTTCCAGTAAATGTTCAACCAAGCCTCTTTCTTTACTCCTCACTAAGATATTAACAGTAGTGAAGAAACTTTAAGAGTACTGTGAAACAATATATTCAACAAGTGGTGTAAATCAGATGTGGATTCCTAAAAACAATTCCTAGGAACTATTGAACAATTTGAAATTACAAGATCTTACCAAAATCAACAGCTTCAAAACTTACGACTTTTCAACTTTATACACAACCATTCCACACGATTAATTTAAGTCAAGACTTTTTTTTATATATATACATTTTTGATAGTTGTATTTTCCCAATAAAAAGGAACCCATAAATTTACTTACTTTGTCATTGGTCGTTTGCAAAACTATTTTGTTAAAACATTCTGATTGTACACACAAGTACTCTGAAGTTGAAATCAAAAAGATGCTTGAGTTTCTGATTAACAATATCTATGTTGTTTTTGGAGATCGGGTATTCCAACAATCTACTGGAATTCCTATTAGAAGACTTATTTTTGTATTCATATCAAGCTGAATTTGTCCAAAATCGTATGCGTGAAAAGAAGATTAAAACATTTGCTGTGGCCTTCATCTCAACATTTAGATATATCGACGACGTATTGTCAAATTACAATGGTAATTTTCATTCTTATGTCGATTCAATATATCCCGGTGAGCTTGAGAAAAAAAGATACCACAGAGACTGAAACATCTATTTCATATTTTGATATTTCACTTGAAAAAGACGTTAATGGTAATCTAACAATCAAGTTCTATGATAAACGCGATGACTTTAACTTTTCTATCGTCAACTTCCCTTACTTATGCAGCAATATACCCTCATCACCTGCATACGTAGTTTATATATCTCAGTTGATTCGATTCGGAAGAGCATGCTCTACGTATAAACAATTTCTAAAAAGAGGTAAATTATTGCCAAATAAGTTGATGAAACAAGAATATCAGCAGTTTCGTTTAAAGCCGCTTCATCCGAAACAGGCACATATTATCTTAAAGCAATATGAGCTGCAATTTCGAGAATTTTATTTTGCTGGTAAAATGTGTTATTATGATTAATCTGTATGTAATCTAAACCTTTATGATCAATAAGACGAAAATAAGGTTTAAAAAATGTTTCAGAAGAGATATTTCTGTACAACCGAAAATGCAGTATTATATAAGAAATCATTATTGTACAGGACGACAATAATTCAATTTTGCTTCTATCAAAGCTTATAAAAAGTTCTTCCATAGCAACATGAAAAACAGAAGTTTATAAATGTTCTATTTTCCTGTCACTAAAATAGTTAATTACAAATTTGAAATATTTTTTTTTTCCGATGTCAAACATGCAGCTCATATTGCTTTAAACAATAAAAGTATGCCATTACATAGAGAATATATAAAAATTAATTATAAGATTGATTAATAGTTTATTACAACAATCCTTACATGGAAAACATAGACCAAAAACCTTGTTGACAAACAGCAGTTCCTGACGGGAAGTTAAGATCTGTTTTGAAGTCACCTTTGAAAAAAATACTTTTATCGGTTTTATCAAGTTATGAAGAGAATTCAAACCCGAGTATTTTTTTTTGCATTAGTAGAATCCTAAGTCATGATATATCTTTTAAAAATTAAGAAATTAATTGAATATAATCCATAGTAATTTTTATATTAATATGCATATTTACAGAATAAAGGAAAATCAGATATTTTTAAAGATTTTTTAAAAAGGGAGTTTAGTAACGAGGGCTAGAATATTGTCCGTGTACACTTTGTTGTGGAAAAAATGCTCGGGTTTGTTCTTCATGAGTTATACATGTAAGCGATAAATTTAATTTTTCGAAGGTGATTCCACGCAATGTCAACAAATGTCAACAAAGGATTATTTTTTGTGTGACCTAACAAAAATTATTTTTTTTTACTTTTGAATTTTGATATCTTTAAAAAGAAAAAGACTTTGGGGATATATTTTGACAAAAGTTGAAATAATTTATGGACAATTATTTTTCAAAAAGAAAAACGAATATATATTTTTAGCGATTAGAATCGGACCAAGCGGCTTTAAAGTCACCATTTCGTAAGTTCTATGGTCGATACATTGACCTTGTCAGCAAGTACAATTTATTATTGAGTCAAATGCTGACTAACGTTTTTCATACTAATTGTTAGTCTATTATTTATACTCTGAATTGACGACTAATTTTCCCATTATTTTCCGATCATGACAAGGAGCGCACGGCGGGTGTGACCGGTCGGCAGGGGATACTAACTCCCAATGACATCTGATCCCACTTCTGATGTTTTGGAGGTCCGTGTTTGCTCTGCTCCTATTTTGTATTGTTTTATTGATTTTTAATCTTGAATATCTCTATATGTTTATTTTGCAAGTAATTTCTGTGAAAAAGAAAAACTTAAGTAAATTTACAGAATTTAGTTAATACCCCTTTCTCTGTAAATCAAACAAATCTTGCTCTTTCAAAGGTTTTTTTTTTAAATAAATATATTCCAAAGTTTTAACACAGAGCATTTGTCGATGATTAAATCAAAATTTAAATAAAAGACGAACAAAAAATGAATATTTTATCATAAATATTGAAGCAACTACATGTATACTATACGTTTCAGGCCAACAGATGCAAAGAGTGGTAACTCAGAATGAAAAATGCTCACAAAAATGTCTCTGATGTAACAAAGTCAGATACCAATAGTATTTCTTTTGAAACTCATCATGTGAAAAGTATTCATGGAAAAAAATTGTCAAATCGATAAATATTTCAGGAAGCGAGAATAAAAGCACCGTATTTTCATATAATAAAAAATTAACAACAGCCAAAAAAAAAAAAAAAAAAAAAACGATTATTGGCGAAACTATCTATATCTATGTACCACATTGACTTTTTTAATGTTTTCCCTTTTACGGGGAGACCACATTGTCCTTGTTGTTGACCTTTGTATAAATATGTTACCTTATGATTCCCGATATCTTCACATGTACTGTAAGATGATTTATTACATATGCATTATTTTTTATATTTTTTCTCATTTGTTCTTATTAAGATTCCACTGTCTGTTTTATATAATTTGCTCGATTGTGTTTGTCTGGGATTTCCCTAATATGATAAATATGGATCCCTCTTTTGTAGATCATTTGTACTTCGCTTGTCCTTTACATCATTGAAAAATGACAATAGTCATCCAATCTGATATAATTGTTTAAGGGATAAAAAAATATGAAACTGGAAAAAAAATTGATTGTTTTTAAACAAAAAAATTAATGGAGGGTATAAATATGTATAAGGATATTTTTTGGTATTAAAACACTCAGGAAATGGCATGTTTTATTCACATATACGGTATTATAGTTCTATTTATTATTTCTATCGCTATCTATTCTCCTATGGGACGTAGAACAACCTACAATCAATCAATCGGTGTAAAAGCCTTTGCTTTAATATCATTGCAAGATATTATAGATAACTCTGCAATTTCTGCAATTTCGTGTTATACTAACAAGCAAGGGATCTAAGGCTAGGTTAAAGGAAAAATATTTCTAAATCTAAAAGGTATTAATTTTGTACTTTCATGAAGTACAAATATCAATAATATTCCAACCTCAGTTACATACGACCTTTATGACTCCCAACTTCTTCCCTCCAGTGCATGCTCTGAATACGAATAATTTTTAACCGAGACAAGGTACTGACAATAGAGTTAATGTTACAAGTTTAATTTCAATAATCCCATTTGAAGTCAACTTTTTGGAATAACCTTGATAGAAAAGACATAATAGTATTGGTTTTGTTTTAAATAAATTTATCAAACTTGCCAGATTATTATATCTACCTTCACATGATTCGTTTTACACTTTTTGTATTTTCTATGCTTTTATTCTAAATTTACTAATTTCTTCGTCTATCAGGTCAATATATAGGATTTACGGCCGGTGTAACGACGAAAAGTGACTCCCGTAGAATATTGACCAGGGGGTCATTTTTCTACGTAGAAAAATGATCCCGGGTCAATGTTCTACGACCAGCTGGGTATTTTTCGACTGTAGAAACACATTCCAGATCAGTAATTCTACAACTCCACACTCGTTGAAAAATGACCCCCATAGAAATTTGACCCCCTACTTTTTTTTATACTATAAAACCTTATATCTGTGTCTCCTGATATTTTTTTCATATTTTTAATGTAAGTAGGGGGATTTTTTCTATGTACTTTATTCCTTTCCAACATATATTTGATTGCATATCTTATTAGTAGCATCATAATCAATGTTTCTGGTATGGATTTATTTTTGGCTTGCAGAATCCCAATGAAAAACTTCAAGAGTACTGTGCAACAATATATTAAAAAGTAGTGTGAATCAGATGTGGATAATCAAAAATTCCAAAGAACTTTTGGACAATTTGAAATCACAAGATTTTTCCAAAATTAACAGCTTAAAAATGTACGACTTTTCAAGTTTATACACAACCATTCCCCACGATAAATTAAAGTCCAGGCTTTTTTGATATCATTGACAGCTGCTTTTTCAATAAAAATTGAACTCGTAAATTTACTTACCTGGTCATTGATCATTTGCAAAATTATTTTGTTGAAACACAAACAAGTACTCTGAAGTTGACATCAAAAAGATGCTTGAGTTTCTGATTGACAATATTAATGTGGTTTTTGGAGACCAGGTATTCCAACAATCTACTGGAATTCCAGTGGGTACCAATTGCGCTTCGGTATTAGGAGGCCTTTTTTGTATTCACATCAAGCAGAATTTGCGCAAAATCTTATTCGTTAAAAGAATAAAACACTTGCTGTGGGCTTCAATTCAATATTTAGATATATCGACGACATATTGTCAATTAACAATGGTAATTTTCATTCCTACGTCGATACGATATCTCTGGTGAGTTGAGATAAAAGATACCACAGAATCTGACACATATGTTTCATACTTAGATATTTTACTTGAAAAAGACGTTAATGGTAATTTAACAACCGAACTATATGATAAACGTGATGACTTTAACTTTTCTATCGTCAACTTCCCTTACTTATGCAGCAATATATCTTCATCACCTGCATACGGAGTTTATATACCGAATATCGGTTGATTCGACACGCAAGAGCATGCTCTATGTATGAAAAATTTCTAAAACGAGGTAAATTATTGCCAAATAAGTTGATGAAACAAGAATTTCAGCAGTCTTGTTTAAAGTCGTCATTTCATAAGTTCTATGGTCGATACAATGAACTTGTCAGCAAATAAAAGTTATCATTGAGTCAAATGCTGACTGACGTTTTTCATACTACTTGTTAGTCCATTATCTATACACTGAATTGACGACAGATTTTTCCGTTATTTCCCGATAATGACAAGGAGCACACGGCGGGTGTTACCGGTCAACAGGGGATGCTCACTCCTCCATGGCACCTAATCCCATCTCTGATGTTTAGGAGGTCCGTGTTTGCTCTGCTCCTATTTTGTATTGTTTTATGGACTTTGATATTGAATACTGTACGTGATCTCCATATCCTTCTTCATTGAGGAGCATAAATTTATGATTATATTTTTGGGTGTTTTTTAGCATTCAAAAGATTTATTCCGAAATGGCATGATATGTTTCTGATAACCATAAACTTTGAAAATTTTTACAAATCCAAAAAATAGCATAGAAGCAAGAAAAGCAACGTAATTTAACTATATAAATTCAATACCCTTAGCTCTTACCTTTAAACTTACATACATACATCTTTATGTATTCTGCTTTAAAATACATACTTTTTAACTACCTTATATAAGGTACTATTCTTTTTTCCTGTATATACTGGAAATACCGTATACATGATTGCTATAACATCCGCTTTCTTCTGAGATTTTGTAGACACTAACTTTGCAAATACAAATGAACTTTTAGTCTATCATGCCATTACTTCGATATCTTAAGTTCAGCACATACCGTCCAAAAGTTAATGCCAAAGTAAAAGTTTTGAATTTTTGTGTAGAGTATGTCAAACTCCAAGATTAAGGTCAAAAGGTCGAAATTGATTGTACACAAAAAGGCCTTGTCTCAAAAATACACCTGATATATGAATGCCATAGTCCCACCTAGTCAAAAGTTATGGGCAAGGTTCAAGTTTTTGCGGACAAATAGACAAACGGACGGACAGGTAAAAAAATTATATACCCCGGAAACTTCTTTAACTAGAGCATAAGTATATTATATAAAGTAACAACTCTTTCATAATCCAACATTTGCTTTTTTTAAATCATCACATGTAAGTACATGTAGAGAAAATGCTACTACATGTGCCAATTTTTGGAAAGACGGGCACTTCTTTTTTCAGTTAATAATGTTTTATGCCACAACCCCTATTTTGTTAAGGTTTTGTTGACACTATACCTAGCAAACAAAAGACATTTACAGGTTTTGAGCTAACCACTTTTTTGTTTCCCTTGTATCATAGGTCAGAGGCAATTTAATTTCGTATTTATTTTTACAAAATTAAATCATCCCATGAGAAGTTTGAAACTTCATTCATAGAAAACCAAATATTTTCATAAGATCTAATTTTCTAATCTTTTCGCACCCGTTTTAAAAGTAGGGATAAAAAACGTTAAACTTTTGAAAAATAAAACTTTATTTTGAATTTTGCAAATTATTTATTCGGGGTAAAATATTAGAGATTTATAATTAATTTATTATGGAAACTTTTTTGACACGAGCGAGAAAATGACCTTTTTAAAGATTAAAACGAAAACTGTGGAAACCTACTGTTTAATATGTAATAAGCGATTACATGAATGCGCGTGTCTTTGCTCTAATGGCCTTAGAACATTTTAATAGACATTGTTTTCCTTTTATGGGGATAAGGTATTGTATTGCTTTGATTCCGTTATTTAAGCTTAAAAGCTTTTAGAAATTAACACTTTAAAGCAAAAGGCTGGTTGATATTACCCGTATATATTCCCACTAAAACGAATGTTTTTGCATCAAAAAATGACAAGGGGTTATCATTCTACGGGGTCATTTTTCTGCAATTCACACGGAGAAAAACGACCCCAAAGGTAATAATTTCTACAGAAAAGTGGGTCATTTTTCTACGTAGAATATTGACCAGGGGGTCAAATTTCTGCGTAGAAAATGACCCCCGGTCAATATTCTACGGGGGTCAATTTTCGTCGTTACACCGGTGAGACTTGATGACAGGAGATGCTTCCTCCTACTTGGTACTTAATCCCATCTTTGTTGTTTCTTGGAGTTTGTGCCTTTGCCTTGTAAACGATTCGAGAGAGAGAAAGAGTATTTTACAGAACTGTTAGAGGCAATTACATATAAGACTAAGTGATAACACAGAGTAAACATAATTGGTGATCCGACTCACGTATCAATGACCCTTCAAACGATTGAAGACGAATTAGATTGTCCAAAAAAGATTCGAGGGTAACCCGTAAAATATGTGACTCAGGTATTTTTTACTGCTTAAGAATGTCTATAATCTTCAAGAGAAACGTGCATTTTGCACGCATTCTCTTAAGTTGATAAGACTTAGCACAGATTTTAAAGAAGAGGCCGAATTGATAAAAATTGTAATAAATATTCACAAAAGCTTTTTCTAATTCTTTCAGTAAATGAACAAAATTTCAAGATAAAGAACGCGAAAAGTGATCGATCCTCAAAGATCTTAAATTATTGTATATTTCAAATCAGCAATTCGCTAATCCTCTTTATATAGAGTTTTGTATAAAACAGTAAAGTATTATGTCTTTATTATTGGTGTTATAGTTATGTTATTTTATGGATTTATTAAATAAGAAAAGTCAATGTAAGAAAATAAAATAGCAATTATACCTACACAATATTATCAACTTCAAAGTCAAGCAATTGTAAAATTATACAGTGCTTTTGCTTCTAAAAATTTTGAACACGTAAAAAAAACAATGGTTGAAGAATATTGATGCCAAGGCTTGAGAATTCATACATTAAGTCAATCCGGGAGAATATGATTTTAATATACGTGGATAGAACACCTTACTGTTTCTTTAATTTTCCTGGATTTTTTTCAGTTATCATCATTAATCTTAAACAATATCTTTATTGAGACAAAACAATGTAAATAATTGATAAAAAATATTTAAATCATCACAGATATCATGCATAAATACACATAAAACATATCACTGCTTTTTTAAGCATCTAACAATAAATACTAAAAATACCATGTATTTCATCACACACGATCATTTGGACAACTATTGCTACAAAACAAACAGGACTGAGCTATACTGATAAGACTCTAATTCATCAACCTTGTTTTACTTACAGTAATAAAAGTAAACCATTTTAATAATACCATTCAAAAGAACCAGCATTGTAGGTTTTAAAATTGAAACAACCTGCATGTACATGTTCAACACAAAGATAGATTTGTAAGTACACCACCTTTTTTTCAATCTTTTATATATCATCTACAGAATGACACACGATAAGGCATCGTACAATCCATCTCTGGGATGAAGAACTGTCCCGATAGCTTTGTTTAACACCCTCTTCATCTTCTTCTCCAGTTCGGGAGAACTCTCAAAAAACCTAGAAGCTCCGATTTTTCTGGCCATTTGAAATCCTTCCGAAGAACTGATACTTTTTTGTCCATTTTGTCTTAAATTGAATTGAACAGAACAGTCCATCCGGAGATCTGTCTGAGTTCCCACTAAGATTATAGGAACATCACCTAAGCAGCTTTTCAGATGAGGCGCCCATTTTTCTTCCACATTTCTAAATGACGTAGGCTGAACCACCGAATAGCAGACGACAACAATGTCTGCGCCAGGTAGAATGTGAATACTGTTCTCCTGATCTTTGTCCTAAAATTATTTTTTTCAAAAACAAAATTAGGAAAATGGAAAATATCTATGTAAAAATCAGATGCATTTTTTTTATTTTGTGCTAAATTTTTGATAAAGTTTATTTCTATAACATTACAAAAAGGTATTTTGTGCACAGTATATACACAGTTATCTATTTAATAAGCGTATCGAAACATAAACGATTTTCACTTCAACTTGTTTATTTAGAAATAGATAAACAATAAATAACCATTTTGAACCTTCTTAAAAAAAGTTTGACCTTTTTTTTTATTTTGTTTGTTAGAAGTACACCTTTTTTCACTGACTGTACATTTCTATATCTACCTTATACAGCAAAATTTATTTGTAGAAAGAAAGTAATTCAAATTTATATATTTGTGAACTAGACTTACAATCCCTTATCTTATAATAAAGAATATGCAAAGAAAAACATCTTATAGAATAGAATGAAAACTAGATGCGTTCTTGTTGCTAGGGCAACAAGCAGGTCTTCCGCCCGACTTTTCGTTCGAAATCTCTGCTCCGTCAGGCCATGAAATAAATTTCAGAATGTATTTTTATCGTTTATTTTCATTGACAGCAGTCTCTCAACATAGATTGTGATTATTACAGTTATTCCACAAAATATCTAAAAATATAGCTTTTACAAAATCGACAAAATCTTCCATAAATTATAAAAAAGAAAGAAAAGTCATATGCAACTGGAAAAAAGACAGAAACAAAGAAAAAAATTTTGCAACGCCCCCAGCGGGATTCAAACCCCCGACAGTAAGACAAATTTTGAATCGGTTATATCTTTGCAACAAATGCACGCATAAAAATGTTGGAAACATATTTAGAGTTCTTAAAAGATACTCTATCAACCCTGTGATTTCTAATGAAAAATAGTAAAAAACAAAAAAGTTGAAAAATTAGACTTTTAGAATTCTCTTCCGTTTGCGACCGGAAGTCAGAACGACGAAAAATGAAGGTCGATCAACACATCTACATTTGATGTTCTATCACGTCTGTAAGTTTCAGTTTTATATCTGTTACTGTTCTTGAGAATTTTTTGCGACAAAATTTCATTTAAAAAATACAAATTTCCCCAAAAAACGCAAAGGGAAGTAAATTTTAAAAAAGTGAGGGACACCCCTGGAGATATCAATATGATACACCATCCCTGAAAAAATCGTTCAAATTGAACCACGCACAGCGGAGATATAACATGTACTATGAAAAGTGGAATAATAATAATAACTAGATGAGAAACTCGTTGCGAGCAACGAGAGGTCTTCCGTCCAATTCCGGAAAGAAGACGTAAAATCGAGCTGAAAAAGTAAAAAAAAAAGATTTGCACACAAGGGGGATTGAACCCAAGTCGCTAGCATGAAATTCCAACGCACTAAATATTACGCTAGCGCGGCCTCTACTCTAAATCTACTTGTATATATTAACTAATATGCTTCTCTCTAAAAATTATGAAAGATAGGTCACTATCCAGAATTTACCGCCAAACGCCAGGAGTTAATCTTCGCGCTTTTCTATGGAATGTTCTATTATATAGATGTGATAGCGTCAATGAAATTAAAAAAAGAACGTTCTTATAACCTAAGATTCGAGATTTGAAAGTATGTTAAACACATTTTAAAATTCCATATTGTATAAATGCATGTAACACTATAGCGGTGAAACGGTTATGATTTTTTTTTCAATTTCCTGTTTATCCCCAAACTGAACTATCCCGATTAGTTAATCGAAAAAGGTTGAAACTTTTCAGGCGAAAACATGGCTCGCCCTTCGATGGTCAAGGAATCAGATATCATTTATGCTCAATAACTTGAATCTGGTCTTTGAGACAAGAATGCTAAAATAAACTCCATGAAGCGATCTTTAAAAAAATCGTTTTCTTATTTTGTCTCATTTATCAGTTTAATATGACACAAGTGTGCATAGGAAAAACAGTAGTTACGATTTATACTGACAATATTAATTGATATTCGTTTTTGAGAGAGTATAACTTATAACTATGATTTAAGATCTGTTTTTACGTGATGTACAAAAGGTATAAGTTATCGAATTTCATTTGCACATTTTGCTCAATCGTCTTTTGTTTTCTACTTTTAAGACCAGCCAAAACCAATTATAGAAGACGTTAGTTTGACACAGAACTGCAACGAAACTATGACGTGACAATCCAAGTATTCCTTTACATTGCATTTACTCTTATGTTACTTTCGTTAAAGCAAACGCTCGGTTGCCTCCGTAAACCACTATTGCGAAATGACGGCGTTGACAGAGACAGCCGCCATTTTGGACCCGCTTCAGATTTTTGAATGCTAATATCTAGACTTTAGATTTATAAACATTCAAACAAATTATATAGTAAGCATTATGCGGAGGGTTTCTATTACTATACCAAATATAAATGAAAAATACTGAAAAACAAAAAAGTTAGAAAATACGATTTTTTAAAGTTTGCAATTCGTAACGACCGGAAGTACTGACGACGCACGAAAAGGTGATTCCGCAAACCACCAAGTGACAAACTATCGTCTCCAATTAGTCTCCAGTTCATATCCTTAGCCATTTTCGATAAAAAGGGGCGACAAAATTGCATTTTAAAATCAGGAAATTGTCCATAACTTGGCACCAGAAGCGAATTTTCCAAATTTCTCTTCGGATGTAACAACTTCATATAATGACACATATTTTGTGAAAGTTTCATGAAAAACCACTGAATAGTTTTCGAGAAATCGCCTGCACAAAATTTTGTCAAAAAAAAGAATAATAATAATAAGAATAATAAGAAACAGTAGAATCACTATAAGGTCTTCCGTGAAGACGGAAGACCTTAATAAAAAACAGAAGGAAAACAATAAGGTCTTCCGAAGGAAGTCGGAAGACCTTAATTAGTCGGAATTTGTCAAGTGGACACCGTGGGAAAAGTTTATCAAATATTGACTTAGTGTGAAGGACAGCCCCAAACATTCTTTATAATCTAGGTATTTATTTATAGGTAACTTTGTTTGTTGTTTAGATAATTTTCAGATTACCCTGCCTATTTTCAATTTGTGAGATCGTTTCAAAGGATTGTAAAACGCTGATATCTTTACTCACTGGATGTGTGTTTAGCGAAATCGTTTCCAACATACCATCACTATCAAACTTATAGAATTGAGGAGTTTGCATACTTGTTGTAGTTATTTATGTATTACATAATAAAACAGATTAGAGGGTCTATCTATTTATATTGATTAGCAATCACAGATAAAAGTAAATGGCTGGAGAAGGGTAATATATTAAAGAGAGAGGCCTTAGGGTGAATGGGTGGTCCAGGTGTTTAACTTTTCTCTTTATTGGTATGATTATTTACAGTTGAAGGGGGCAGTTTATGGTTTTCTTTTGGCTTTTCTATACAGTGTAAAAGAAAGTATAAAACGTAAGGTCTAGAGCAATAAGACTATAGATAGTGGACCTTGTTTGCATCAAGCAAAAACAAGAGGCCCATGGGCCACATCGCTCACCTGAGCACCAAGGGTAGGACTAGTATAAAATGGCTTTTTATTGTAAAGTTTAAATCCAAAAGTAGTCCCATGAGGCCATGACCATTGGATTTGCTATTTTTTAGAAAATGATTGAGAAGAAGATTTTTAAAGAATTTTCCTATATATTTCTATGTTAAACTTTGGTCGGCCATTTTGGCCCCGCCCTACCCCCGGGTGTCATGATTTGAACAAAATTGAATCTACACTACCTGAACATGCTTCCATATAAATATGATGAATAATGGCTTTGTCATTCTTGAGAAGAAGATTTTTAAAGAATTAAATTTTCCTATATATCTCTATGTAAAACGTTGGTCGGCCATTTTGGCCCCGCCTTACCCCCGGGGGTCATGATTTGAACAAACTTGAATCTACACTACCTGAGCATGCTTCCATATATATATGATGAATTATGGCTTTGTCATTCTTGAGAAGAAGATTTTTAAAGAATTTTCCTATATATTTCTATGTAAAACATTGGTCGGCCATTTTGGTCCCGCCCTACCCCCCGGGGTCATGATTTGAACAAAAAACTTGAATCTACACTACCTGAGCATGCTCCCATATAAATATGATGAATTATGGCTTTGTCATTCTTGAGAAGAAGATTTTTAAAGAATTTTCTTATATATTTCTATGTAAAAACTTGGTCGGCCATTTTGGCCCCGCCCTACCCCCGTGGGTCATGATTTGAACAAACTTGAATCTATACTACCTCAGCATGCTTCCATATAAATATGATGAATTATGGCTTTGTCATTCTTGAGAAGAAGATTTTTAAAGAATTTTCCTATATATTTCTATGTAAAACTTTGGTCGGCCATTTTGGCCCCGCCCTACCCCCGGGGGTCATGATTTGAACAAACTTGAATCTACACTACCTGAGGATGTTTCCCATAAGTTTCATCTTTCCTGGCACAGTGGTTCTTGAGAAGAAGATTTTTAAAATATACCACTAAATTTTCATTAATTCCCAATTATCTCCCCTTGAATACGGGCGTGGCCCTTCATTTGAACAAACTTGAATCCCCTTCACCCAAGGATACTTTGTGGCAAGTTTGGTTGAAATTGGCCCAGCGGTTCTTGAGAAGAAGTCGAAAATGTGAAAAGTTTACAGACAGACAGACGGACAGACGGACAGACAGACGGACGGACAGACGGACGCCGGACAAAATGTGATCAGAAAAGCTCACTTGAGCCTTCGGCTCAGGTGAGCTAAAAAATGTTATTTAAATTACTTTCTTTACAAAAATTACAAAAACAAATTGAAATCGAACTAAATAAAATTTGAAGAAAAAAAGATATTCAACATGGTAATAATATATAAGAAACTTTTTAAAAACTACTTTAAAACATAAGTGCAACTTAGCCTATAATGTAAATGAACTCATTCAAAGACATTTGTAATGAATTTTCTTAAAATAGAAGTTCAAGATAACAGAGAAATTTGAAACTTGCCTCTTCCAGGGTGTCGAGAAGTTGCAGATGGTATTTTTTACCAGACATTTCTAAAGTCCCTGCAAAATAGACAAATCATTCAATTACCATCCGTGCATTACACTTAGGAGAGTAATATTTAGAAGCCAAACATGTAAAGAGATTGCAGGAAAATGTTTTAATTCTGCGACTTTCAAGCTTAAGATATATCATCTTAAGAAAAGGCACAGGTGTTTTCGAAACTATATGAATAAAAATGTTTATTAATAGAATACATATCTTGGCATGCTTACGTGATGTGTTAATTATAATGTTGTGTGCTTTTCTGTTTATCTAAACACGCAATATACAGCTCCCAGCAAGCTAGATTTTATGTCCAAATTTTCGAAGGTTTTCTTTTTTTTTTTTTTTTTTATCGTACAACAATTTTGATTTAATGCTCCAATTAAGATATATGTAATAGTGTAACTATACATTTGTTCAAATATTCACTGATACTATTGATTGAAATTTATAATGAACTTAAAAGTAAAATACTTCTTTGAAAAAATAAAAAAAAAATCTACGAGAAAAAAATGTCTGTTTGTTCCAGAGAATGATAATTACCTGCATAGTTATCAAAAACACTAGGCACGTGCTTCGTGGGGAATCTGTTTGTAGCGTAATTCACAAGCAAACTTGTCTTCCCAACGGAATCATCCCCTAAAACAACACATTTAATTAAGTCCGAACGAAGAACCACCATCTCAACTCTATCAAGTTTGTCATTCACTAAAAAAAATTAAATTCTCCCGTAATCTAATCTTTGGATTGCACCATATCGTATTGTTGACAATTCTCTTTGTTTACATCTGTACACGCGCAAGCAGACGAGCGTATAGATTTGAAGGATGTCACGTGATGTTCAAAACTCGCCCTCGCACTATTTACCTATATCATGTGGAATGCAGAAAATCCACAGGTGGAAAATAAACACAATTTAGAAGGGAGGTGTCTAAGTGACTAAATAATGTAGAAGAATCGTTGCATGGGCGTCCTGTGGTCAATATTACAGACAGGATCGTACGGTTTTATCACGGATTTGATCAGCCGTTATCCTGTTAGATATGAGTTTCTATACGTAAAATCTTTTTTTAAATACCAATTAAAAAAAGTGAAGAAAAGAGTATCTTTTCTTAATGCTGGGCAATATATACCTACTTTAATATTTTCGGAGTTTCGAGTATACATGTATAAATTTGGATGTAAAGGAAAGAGATATGTTGAACATTTTCTAAGGGTTATATGGTAGGAAATAAAATGAATTATTTAAAAAAAAATAATTTTTTTATCCATTTTTAGGCACAATATTTTTCAGATTATATCCTAAACCTTTCCAATTACTTTTATTTGTAACTTCCTTTCGTTAATAACTATATTTTTGGCACTTTCATCGAATTCCATAAATGGTATTTGTTATAATTTGTAACGAATCATTTAATTTGTCACATGTTGTTTGTA